ACATGTTAGAACTATGCAGTGTTTACATTTGCTATTCCTACAAGAGACTGGATACTTGCACAGATGTGTCAGTTCAACTATATTTTATTATGGACGGTGACTTAAAATATGGAGACATTGGGTCCACATGGCGTGGAATTTTAAGTCAACCCCTTTGCTGTTTTCTTCCCTTTAAAAAAGGGGGGTGGCTTTTGTTTCAGGGGTGCAGTATTTTGATTTTGTTTTTTGTTGTCAGTGCATTTATTTCAGGTTACACTGTTTTTTTAAGTTGGGCATACACCAGTTAGGCCTCTGATCCAATATGAAAAATGTCCTGCTGCTGGCCAGTTTACCACATTCTCTATGTGGTCTCTAACACCTACCTGTTGTGCCTGCTTGTCACTACTAAGTTTAGGCTTAAAACCGCTTTTTAAAATTGTCCTGCTGCTGGCCAATATTCCACTGCTGCAGAATCTGCAGGCTTTTCATTGTTAATAAGAGTTTAATAGAAACTTTGTAGATCCTTCTAGTAATGTAGGAAATGGTGTAAAAATTATTATTAATGGCCATTTAATTTTCTTTTTTGGGGGGAGGGGAATGAGTAATAAGGGATACTAATATACTCCCTGTACTTATTCCCCTGGGGGCGGATGTTGATATCTGGGCCCCCACTTATTATAAAGGGGAATCCCAGATTCAAGAGGCTTTGTCCCCAGCATTAGGACAAGGCGTCTTGTAAGTTTGGAACAGGAAGAGAGGAAGGGGGCTCATGCTTGTCCTGTTCTTTCCCTTATGCATTTTTACATGTTCCCCATGACAGTGCCCAACTCCCCATGCCTTTCTTTCAACAATAGCTTGTCTATTAGCTTTGAAAATAGGCCATAAAAAAAAATAACATTCACTTACCATAGCCTTCAGTGGGGTTGGCCTCCTACGTTCTACTAATTTCCTGGTTTTACAGATGGTTAGCAGATTCTCCTGCTAAAGGTGCCCATACACTGCACGATTATCGTACGATAATCGTATGCGATCGGTTTTTCGTACGATAATCGAGCAGTGTGAACGGAGACGTGCGACCGTGAATACTGTACGATCGTACGACGTTTAACTACCTAGCATGTTCGAAAACCTGTGGGTAATCGTACGATAATCGTTCAATGGGTAGAGTAATCGTTCGATGACAATATGAACCCAGGCCTGTTCACTCCTCCCTAAATAGTTTAATCAGACAGCCAGTGTGGGATGATTTGCAACAATGACACAATTAGCAATAAAAAGTTGACATTGGTACTAACCTTCCCCCTACTCTATTTAAAACTAACAACCTCAGACAGCAGTTAAATCTCTACAGAGGTTCTTGTCTCACTTTACCCAAAACTAAACAATAAAGTTTTGGCTGGATATTTACTTCAAGCAGTTCCTACCAGTCGTCCCTAACCTTGTAATGTCATGCTGCAGTAGTGGATTCAACAGCAGGTAAAATGTGGATATGCAGACTTTCCCAAGAGCACTCAGGACCTGTAAGATGTGAAGATACTTGTGTCAGCAGCTCTAAACAGGCTCATTATTTCCAGTTTTCTTGTATATAGTCTATACAGCAACCAGCTAACACAGTCAAACCAGTTTTTATTAAAGTGAGGCATCTAGAATCTTCCCTTGAATGCCAAATTAGATTAGCAACTTTCTGACACCAGGTATTGCATTGTGGGGTGTGCGCCTAATCTTCTTCACCGGGGTTAGGCGGAGGGATAATCGGTAGAGGTGGCTGCCTGTAGCGCTTCACCAGAATAGGGGGCAAAAAGGAGAGAACATAAAACCTATACTGCTAAAGTCCAGTAATTTGCAGCTCATGGGAGGGGGCACTTTGGCCTTTTTGTCTTGGGTGCTAAAGGACCTTCTCCCAACACTGATCTCTACGATCAAGAAGTCTTCCACCAGAAGGTTTTAACTTGTGATTTAACTGCAGATTTGCTCTAGGACACTTTAAGTATTTTGGTCCACAAGGTTAAACAATAACATGTTCCCGTTATTGACTTTATATGTAAAGTGTCATTTAAAAAGGAAGCCCACAGCAACCAATCAGATTTAGAGATGCATTTTCAAAAAAATATGTGGGCTGCCATGGCAGAAGGTTTCTTCTGAAAATGTTAGTTGATTGGCTGATGCAGATGTTTCTCCTGCCAACCTGTTCCAGGTCACTGATGCAAAATTGTGGGAACCAGAAACAGCCAAACAACTATAAATTTCAGTAGGTCAGCAATGGCAGTCTACATATTCTCCCAATACAGGTCTCCTTTAAGATGGCTACCAATTTCTTACAGATGCATTGCATTCAAATGTACACTGCTAATGAAGGCGGTGCCTCTAATTTGGCTTATAGTTCAGCACGGACTTCTGTGCTGAAACGACAAAGCAAAAATGTACTTTTTTTGGCTATACTTAATACCTGAACTATTTGCCAACAAATCACTTAGCAAGGCACAGAACGCTTCTGTGTTGTAGTGTGTTATAATGCAGGCGCATTTGTTAATACTGTAAATGTGCATTGTGGTGCCATTAAGCATGAATGGCAATAAACATATACTGCACAGAAGTATGGCACTAAGAGGGTGGCAATCTAAGCTTTAAAGTGTAGTTCCACTTGTGCAGTCAAATTTGAGGCAACCCAACTATATGTTTGATATATAAAAGGAGCTTCATTCAAATTCAATTCAGAAGGAGATCAACTGCAGGTCAATTGCACCTGTCAATTAATTCTGAATGATCTCGGAAGCATCTCAATCTGATGTGAAAAGCTTGCAGCATTTGCAGTCCAAAGCCCTTCACAGTGCCCCTTATACCATGCTCTCCCTCTTCCCCTAAGGCTTGTTTCAGGGCATGTAATACTATCAATTTTGCTCTGAATTTTCAAAAAAACTTCCAATCTATTTATTAAGTTGTGTATGAGGGGATGTACAAATGTCAGTATGTCACAGCTTCATAAATAGGCCCAAAGCTGCAGCTGGTCCAGGGAACCCATACAGGCTGCTATGCTTACAGTAAGGGCAAGTAAACATAAGGACTACCTATAGCCCAGCTGCTTGTCAGTTCCAGGCTACTTCTTTTGGGTTTGGGATCCTGAATAAACACCATACTTGTCTATGTTGTCCATGGGCAGCTGAGGGATTTTAACCAAATATTTTCACTGTCTTAGGGTTTAATGCGCATGACACTTGTGTGTACTGGAGACAATGGTAACGTCCAATGAGACAAAGCTTGATATTATTTTTTGAAAAGATGTATTTTGTGAAAATATTACATTGACAACCTGGGAAAATGATTTTATGCGTTAGAAAGTATTTATTAAGTATACCATGACATCTAGTGGTGGTTTAGTATATTGCAGCCTGCAAAGTATATCTGATATGAGTACTTAATTCAAATTAACCTCTAAAGGCTCAGTATGTAAATCATTTTAGAAAAATAAGACTGTAGACGATAGCAACACTTGAGTTTATATTATTGTTCGGAAGCTGGCCATACACTGTATAACCAGATTGCACCTCCGCCCGTTCCTAAAATTTACTAAAACTATGTAATATTAAAACAACCTAAACAGTCCATTTAATTTGTATCCTATCAGGTAGGCCCTTGCAATACATAGCTGCTGGTAGATCTAAAGGAGATTGTACAATCAGATTGTATAGTGTATGACTAGTAACCATAGTAACCAATAGCTTCACTCTTCAGTTTATTTAGTTAAGATATCAAAATGAAAGCTAGAAGCTGATCGATTGCCTGGGGCAACTGTTCCAGATTCTGTCTGCTCCAGTTTTTTATACATTTCTCCCATAAGCTTTTTTCAGGGAGTTCTGGTTAGGGAAAGCTGTGTGGGCTGCCCACAGACAGCCCCTGGCAGGCCGATGGTGCCCTGTACATGAGTTTTGGTTGTTCCCCCTCACTATTGGCAGCCCTGTGTGGCACAGCTTACAGTAATGAAGAGGCAAGAGTTGAGATTTTGTTATATTCATGAACTTGACTTTTCGATACTAACATGCATGGATAAAATTACTTTTATGAAGCAGATGTTATCCACATGTATATCTCAAAACAATAGATTCCCTTTAAAGGGACTCATAAAAGATGTCCCTGCGAAGAAGATAATGCATAAATATCCCACTGCCTGCCGTCAGGGGCTTCCCTAGCATTTTCCCCGCCTGATGAGGGAGAGGTGGGTGCTGGTGGGGCACGTTGGGGGGCAGGATGCGGAAGGCTGGCACTGGCGGTGCACATTCAGGGGGGTGAGTAGTGTATTGTGCTGGTGGTCCATGCTAACCGGAGTTGGAGGTCTCTGCAGCATCTGGCTCTGGCCGGTGTACCGCTCAGCTCACTGATGTCACTGGTTGCCCAGAGCTGAGCAGGATGACATGTGTGTGGCCCTTACACATCTCCCTGCCCAGCTTTTAGCTGGAACAATCTGGCTGGAAAGGGGGCGGCAGGCACACTGCAAATATTGTGCAGCAAAGTGGCCATGTAGCTCTGCCTGCCTTCCCCCCCACACGTGACCCAAAGAGAAGCCGTCTGAGGCAACAATCTCTGGCTGCCTCATTATAGAGACGGCCCTGCCTGGGATGCTAAATGCCAATGCCGTGAAGAAAAATCTTTGCCTGAAGTCTCTTCAGGTACCAACACTTCCAGGTAGATCTCCTGGTCTCCAGCTGTACTAATGACTCCTCCTGCCTATGTCACTACAGGACTGAGTATTGATCTAAGAGTCGGTGAGAGGAACCATTGAGCTCAGAGGAGGGACAAAGGCATCCGGCACTGGCAGGCTGCGGAATATTCTTGTCATTAATATCTTCTTTGCAGGGACATCTTCTATGGGCACTTTGATTTTAGCGACTGAGTTGCTTTAATAACAGTAATGCTGATCAAAAAGCCAAGGAAACAATACATGCTTTTACTGATGATAATGACACATGAAAATAATGACTGTGTTGTACTAGCGACCAAAGCCCATAGTGACGCGATTACCCATGGAATTGTTGTGTGAAGAAAACTTTATTTAACACCGTGGTTAACATAACCTAAACCTGGGATCTGGGTTTGAAAAGATACAAAACAATACCAAAAGCTAGAAAACATAACACATGCATATATCTAGTAATAAGCAAAGGTGGCTTGTTATAAGTTACACATGGCCTTCCTGGGGCTCACTGACCACTGCAGTTGTAGAGAAGGAATACGGAGTGAGGAGCACAGCGATGGTGTAGTGACGGTGTCCAGCATCATTGGCAGTAAACACAACCTGCAACAAACAACAGAACACCATTTACATTCAAATTTGTGTAGCACATTTTATTCTTATAAGATCTCCTGATTGATCTAGGTCTCATCTTTATACTCCATCCCATCATAATTCAGATTGATCTATACCTACATCATTCATTATCCAATCCCCTAGTGAAGTCCTTGATACTCCAGCCAGAGAGAGGGGAGGATTCTGTCTGGTTTGAAAAGTTGTATTTGTCCCCACTGCAGAGAATTTCCTTTATTCTTTTGGTAATGATGTCTGTGACCTCATAGGGGAGATTTCTCTCCTCTTCTTCTTCTGTTTTACACCTGTCAGGAAATGAAGGGAAATCACCTTCATGGGTACACAATCAGCAATGCAAATCTGACAGTGTTTCTGAATCTTCCTCAACACTGTGCACTGTTGTGTCCCTATTGTAGGAATATTCCCCCACATCCTGTTCTGTTAGATACATGCAAAATAGATGAGACATTTTCACTCATTTCCTGCTTTACCTATCAGATAGATAGGAAGTAACAAGAAATAATCTAAATAGAGACACAGACATGAATAAAGAATTGACAGAAGCTTAACTCTTTTTACACTGTAAAACTAAAAAATCTAAAACAAAAAACAATAATGTTAGCTGTAGTTGGGCTTTAGGTATAGTAAAACTTCCACAATGTGAAAACTAAAATGTTGGTCTCTATTTCCTTACTTCAAGGCATCTTGGGTTAGCTTAATATGGTCCTTTCTACTCCTAGATGCTTGTATGAACATTCATACCAATAATAATGTCAGATCATTGGATAATGCCATCAGAGACTTGACGAATGTCATTTGAAATTTTGTTTGATTTTAACATTCAGTTTTGGAAATTAATGGACTTTCCTGAATTGTTTTTCCTTAATTTGTGTCTTTTATATCTGCCTGGAGAGGTCAGTTTAAGTGTTACAGTTTGGAGATGGGGAAGGGGGGAGAAGTAAAGGTTTGGTTTAAGGTATAGCAAGTGTTCAGATAGGAGACGTGGGCAAACTCCGGGCCTCCAGCTGTGGTGAAACTACAAATCCCATGATGCATTTGTCTCTGGGAGTCATGCCTGTGAGAATCTTGCAATGCCTCATGGGATTTGTAGTTCCTCAATAGCTCATGGGATTTGTAGTTCCTCAAGGGCCAGAGTTTGCCCACCTCTATGTTAGGGGCTGCGTTAGTGTTGGGGATAGATTACTGGCCAGCCAGCGGCGTAACTAGAAATCACAGGGCCCCATAGCAAAATTATGTATGGGGCCCTGTGATTTCTAGTTATACCCCTTGCAGAGCCCACTTGAGATCCCACAGAGCCCACCTGAGGGTGACCCTGCAGAGCCCTCCATAAACTATCTATGGTGGGCTCTGCAGGGTCACCCTCAGGTGGGGTGGCCACACTCCTTACCTGTCCGCCTCCTCTTCCTCCACGCTCGCTGATGGGCCCCGCCTCCTCCGTCGCCGGGCCTGCCTCTTTCTCCATCACCGGGCCCCGCCTCCTCCACTGCCAGGTCCGGCTTCCTACACCGCCTCTACTGGCTCTCATTGACTCAGCAACGGCTCTGGAGACGAACGCAGCGCTGCACAGATTACGATCAGTGATCCGAATAG